ATAATCTGAAATTTCTTAAAATCTCAAGCAGGGGATACATTCGACCTCCATTTAGGATACTTTGTGAAGTAAACATTCAAAACGTAATCTGCTATTTTTTTCCTGCAATTATTGAAAAGAAATATAATTACCTGACTTCCCCGATTCCTTGCTAGTCATTGAAAAAAAGTCTTAAAATAGGTCCTTAGATTTTTCGGTAAATCTTCAATTCAAAATCTATTTCATCTATCTAATAACTTCTTAAATCAATTCAATGAAAAAGAACTGCTTCGAAAAACAAGTTTTTCCACTTAACCTGTATTAGTTTTATTACCTGTGATTTCTTTCCTTTGGCTCTCTCATATTTTTTTCGGATCCAAAAATAGACAAGACAAGATTGTAATCCTTATTGCCTTATGCTCGAGTTCGAGAAAAGGAAGAAGAAGGCCAAAAGGAAAGCAAGCACACAACTTTAACAAAGTTAAGAACCTTTCAATGATTTTTGAGAAAAATATATGTATCTGTGTGTGTTTGTGTGCGTGACAGTCTACACAAAGTGGACGCCTATGTATGTGAGCAAACTAAGCTTTTGTGTTAAGTAACACTTATCCTTTTTTTCCGTGCCTTTCGATTGAAAGACAACAAAACATCAGAATGAATATATAAACTAAACCCTTGCAGTGATTTCTTTGATTTTTTTTCTATTTTTTGTTTCAAATTTTCTTCTGTGTCTTCTTCTTCTTCGTTTTCTTCTTCTGGGCCAGATCCATGTTATTCGAGTGCAGCCATTTATCAAAATCATGTCATCACTTAAAGAAATGTTGTTGTCAACAACAAGGATTCTCCAATCATGTTATGTAGATTTACCCATGCATACATATGTATGTATGTACATGGGTATTTGGAGGTGTAGCCTGGTTGATTGTTTCATTCACAACAAAAACAACATAGGAAAATGCTTGTAAACAATAAAAATGCACAAATCAGAAGAGATTTTTTTTGTCAACATTGATTTTGTTCCAGTTTTGTTTTTAGACCATTGCTGGGTTGGTTCTATGCTTTTATGTATCGACAATTTCATTGGGTATTCTTTAAGCTATGCATTCTGTACGAATTAAATAGTAAGTTGTGCCTCTTGAAAGAGGAAAATATGAAGACGAAGAAGAAGAAAAACTAAATGGACATTTCTATGGAAATCTCTTAACAAGTCAACAAATTGGTTGAGCAAATTGATTTTGTGTTTTCAATCATTTGCTTGCAGCCTAAAAATATGCAATGGTTGGGGTATTCGTCGTAATTGCCAAAAGGAGGCAAATGATAATGAGAATATCACAGCCAATTGAAACTGCAATTTTATGAAATGAGTTAGATTTCAAACGAATTTTGTCTCGTTAGAAAATTTGAAAATTATACCCATGAAAGGGTTTTTATAAAGAAATACTAACAAATTTTTGTAATTATTTGGCCCTCCAGCAAAAACAAACTGTCTTCTGCATTACCATTAGATAGAAAACAAGTTAAAAAGCAGTAAGTTCGGCCGGGCCGAACTTTTGATACCCTCCAACATTTGCAACGAATTTGGAAATTTTTAAAAAATAAAATCCTTAAAAAATTCTGTTAAAATTTTAAAAATACCGAATATAGCCGTTATATTGGGGTCTATACGACGTGGACATACATAGGCATTGTTTGTCATAAGCCATTACCATATTGAAATTCGAAACTTGAAATAATCGGTGAATAATGTAGCTAAAATCATCAAAATATCGTATATAAGGAGGTGCCGTTAAATTGGAGCTGTGCGAAGACCTGGACAAGCATAGACAATTTTCTGTCATAGGCTGTAGCATCCATTACGAACTTCAAATACCACATCTCAAACAATTTCGGTGGGTATTGTACCTAAAATCCTCAAAATACCGAATATAGGGAGGTACTGATATATGAGGCCTATACGAAGACCTGGACCCGCACAGACAATTTTCTGTCACAGACTGTAGTTCCCATAACGAAGTTCAAATACCAATTTTGAAACAATTCCGGTGAATAATGTCGCTAAAATCATCAAAATACCGAATGTAGGGAGGTACCGTTATATGGGGGCTATATGAAGACGTGAACCTGCACAGACAATTTTCTGTCTTAGGGTGTAGTATCAATTTTGAACTTCAAATACCAAATTTGAAACAATTCCAGTGAATAATGTCGCTAAAATCATCAAAATACCGAATATCGGGAGGTACCGTTATATGGGGGCTATACGAAGGCGTGAACCTGCACAGACAATTTTCTGTCTTAGGGTGTAGTATCAATTTTGAACTGCAAATACCAAATTTGAAACAATTCCAGTGAATAGTGTCGCTAAAATCATCAAAATACCGAATATCGGGAGGTACCGTTATATGGGGGCTATACGAAGACGTGAACCTGCACAGACAATTTTCTGTCTTAGGGTGTAGTATCAATTTTGAACTTCAAATACCAAATTTGAAACAATTCCAGTGAATAGTGTCGCTAAAATCATCAAAATACCGAATATCGGGAGGTACCGTTATATGGGGGCTATATGAAAACGTGGACCTACATGGCCCATTTACGAACTTAACCTGCCTACTAGAAAAATAAACATGTGTGCATAATTTTAGCCATCTATCTCAATTCATTCGAAACATAGCGTGATTACAACAGACAGACGGACAGACAGACAGACAGACAGACAGACGGACATCGCTAAATCGACTTAGAATTTTACGCTGATCAAGAATATATATACTTTGTTGGGTCTGACATGAGTATTTCGAGGAGTTACAAACGGAATGACAAAGTTAATATACCCTCCATAGTATGGTGGAGGGTATAAAAATGGGTCATTTCTTAAAAAATTACGAATCCAAAAGACTTATTCTTCTTCTTACCAAGTATTGAGCAACGTTGACTCAGAGAGTACACTTCCCACAACGAAACCAAAGGCTGAGAGTTTCAGACTCGGCGTTTGCGAACGAGGAAAAACAATAAAATTCGAAGTAGATATAGAATTTTAAAAAGCTCCTTAAAGTTCCTGTGGTAAGGTGGATAGTGTGTTAAATATAAATCCATGCATAGAGCGGACAAAACAAAACGTTGGAAAAGTTAAATCTAAAAAATACGATATGGTTTTATACCTAGCCATATGGCTAGATACGGCCAAAATGTGTCTTATCGAAGTATCGGTTTTAGACCCTAGGTCTCTTTGGACCAAATCCGTTTCAGGACATTTGGAATCGATATAGCGATATCCGTCCGTCCATCCTTCTGGCAGGCTGGTGCGAACTATAACTCTTGAAGAGAGTATCCGAATTGATCCAAATTTGGTATATCGTAATATTATTGTCAAACTTAGATTGAGTTCAAAGATGGGCAATATTGGCCCACTTCTTCTGGTACCTCCAACACTAAATTTTCAAAGAAAATAATTTTCTGCACAGAATGAGGAAGGATTATCCGATTTTGTTCCATCTTAGCGAATCCTAATATTTGCATAAGTGCTAGGTCAGGTACGAAAATAGGCAATATCGGTCTACTCCATTAGGTACCTCCCCCACAAAGGCTTACAATTTTGAATAATTATAATTCTTCTAAAATGTGATGTAAGAGACAGATTGTCTTTAAATTACACCCAACACAATATTTTTATTAACCCAAGGTCAGGAGGGTAGATGGAATATATCTGTTCTGGTACCTTCCCCAAAAAAGAGCCAGAATTCTCAATATTCCCGAAGCTCATTAAACTCGAAATTAACATCAGAATTCATTCAGACCTGACAAACCTCAATATTTCTATCAACACAAGATCTGTTATAACATTCCTTCTGGTACAGTCCCCACAAAGGGTCAACATTTTGAATAAACATTAAGCTCAGAAAAAGCGAAATGACCATCCAATTATCTTCAAATTTCACACAGCTCAATATTTATATTTACGCAAGATGTGGTGTGAAGATATATCGGACCACTCCTTCTGGTACCTCCCCCACAACTCGTCAAAATTTTAAACAACGTGAAGTTCTTAAAACTCGAAATGAGCATCCGATTATTTTCAACCTTGTCACATCCCAATACTTTTGCTAACATAAGACCTGTCGTAAAGATGGAATAAATCGGTCCACTCCTTCTAGTACCTTCCCCAAAAAGCGTCAGAATTTTTGATACCGAATTTTGAAAATCCGATTCCATTCAGACTTGGTACATCTCAAAAAATCTGACAACACAAGATGGTAGAGATCGGATCATTCCTTCTGGTACCTCTCCCACAAAGGGGCAAAGTTTTGAATAACTAAAACTATCATAAAATCTGAAAAAGCGTCAGAATTTTGAATACCGAATTTTGAAAATCCGATTCCATTCAGACTTGGTACATCTCAATAATCTGACAACACAAGATGCTAGAGATCGGATCATTCCTTCTGGTACCTCTCCCACAAAGGGACAAAGTTTTGAATAGCTAAAACGATCATAAAATCCGAAAACAGATTCCGGTTCTCTTCGTATTTCGCATACATCCCATTATTTCTACAAACACAATATCTTCTATGAAGATAGGATATATCGGTCCACTCTTGTGGCACCTCCCCCCAAAGGGTTAACATTTTGAGAAACAAATCGTTCATAAAATGCGAAATAAGCTTCCAACTCACTTCAAAATTCACACATCCAAACATCTTTGCTAAAACAAGATCTGTTGTGTAGGTTATATATATATTTGCGGACCGCTTCTGGTACCTCACCCACAAAGCGGCAAAGTTTCCAAATGTCCATAAACGGATTTGGTTCAAAGAGACCTAGGCCGTATCAAATGATATACAGCTTCTCTAGCCTTATGGCTGAGTCTATAAAAAAGTACGATCCAAAAAAAAATCCGATTTCACTTATATTTTTTTCTCTTAAAATAAAATAATAATATTTACAAAAAATATGCAAATTTCTAATAAAAATTCTTCTTTACATTCTTCTTATTGTTTGCAGATATTAACACCCAACGCCAACCAAACAACAAATCGAAAAACAAAAAACTCTTGGGATTTAAGCGGGTTCACAAACAGCAAACAGAGGCAAAGCAAATGTCATCTTCTTCGATAACTAGACAAAGAAAACGCCACGTCAAAAAGGATGCTAAGCCTTTTTCTTCTAAGTTAACGAGGCAAAAAGAAAGTGTGTTTGGTTTTTGAAAGTCTGTTTGTTCAACTCCCTCCACTCCCAGGTACTGCTTCAATTTTCAAAATAAAAAATGGGATTTGATGAGTTGGTAACCTCAAGGGTTTTAAAAGGAATAACTACAACAGCAACAACAACAACAACGACTACGACAACAGAGACAGCAGTATCATCAGTAATATCGATAGAAGCCACAACCAGAAAAGCCTTAACAGCATTGACGGCGGCATCTATCACAAAGAGCGGAGACAACAACAACAGCAGCAAAAACAACAAACATAATAATAGTATTCTCACAAACGATAAAATAACAATCGATAACGGCAGCAGCAACAGCAACAGCAACAATAAAAATAAAATTTTTTTAAAAAGGTTTTCCTGTGAAAATCAACATTTCAAGGACATTGCCGTAAAAAATATTGCAGTTCAAGTGAATTGGAGGAGGAACAGCAGCAGCATCATCCCACAGTCAGCATCGCCGGCACCATCCTCCGCCACAAAGTGTAAAACAATAAAAAATATTCCAGTAATAGAATATCAACATCAAACAGCAACAATTCACTACCCCGTAAAAGCTTTATAAAACAACAAAAGCTGTTACTTTTTTTGTTGTTGTTTCCAACTCGTAAACCGAAACCCAGAAGCGTGGTAGTCAACAGCGGCCAACACAATGCAGCGTTTGAGGACAACATTTACGCGTTCGCGTACTCCAACTGGTGCCGAAATGAAAACTCAAAACAGTCTGGAAGTGCCCAAACAGGTGCGAGTCCTTGTAAATCCTTTAACATAAAGATTTAATGTTTGTTGTGTTCATTTTTTGCTTTCTCTTGGTTTGTTTGCGTTTTTGTTTCAAAACAATTGTTATGCATAGAATTTCCATAAAATTCAATTTTTCTTTTTTTGGATTTCTGAGTTTTTGTTTTCGTTTTCAATTTAAAATTCCGTTTTCAAGCTGTTTGCTTAACTCGTCCATTGTTGTTTTTCGTTCCTTTTTTTTTTATATTTTAACTTTCCGCTGCATGTTTTGTTGCGTGAAATATAATATTCGTTATTTAGCTATTTAGAATATAGCTTTAGGTGAAATTTAAGAAAAATTTGAAATATTTTCTGAGATTTCTTAAATTTGTAATTGTCTCTTATTTTTGCGATGACAAACTTTGAAAATTCTAAAAAATATTAAAATTGTAGATGTGGTTGATAAAAATGGACGTTTTGGGAACATTAAATATAACTGTGAGATAAATTTAAATTTCTCTAAGTAATTATAGGAAAAATCATATAAATTATGAATATAGAAGACATGTGTATCTGCGTTCTGAAAGTTTACTTCTAAATATTCTAAGTCGATTTAACAATGACCGTCTGTCTGTTGAAATCACGATACAGCCCACATTAGTTAACGTAGAGCTTCAAAATTTGGCATACGAATTGTTGGTATTTTTGTAGAGCCGCCATATAACGTTACCTCCCGACATTCGGTATTTAAATGATTTTCGACACATTTTTTCATGGATTTGTCTCAAAATTTGTATTTGTAAGTCATAATGGGTTCCAGCTAGGTCCACGTTTTTATACCCTGCAACACTATGTGTTGGGGATATTATAAGTTTGATTGGGCCAAAAATTATGTAACACCTCGAAATATTGATTTCCCACATAGGAAAGTATATATGGATCTTCCTATCTCGTCGAGCTGAGTCGATCTAGCTATGTATGTCCGTCCGTCCGTCTGTCCATGTTAATTTGTAATCACTCTACAGGTCGCAGTTATGGCCCGATCTTCACGAAATTTAGTATGGAGGTGGGGATAAGGTCAGAATAGAACCCTATTTCTTTTGGAGATGATCGCATAATATTTAGGTGTCGAAATGGACCAAAAACTGAAAAAAATACTGATTTTGCAGTTGCTCTACAGGTCGCAATTATGGACCAATCGTCGCGGAAAATAGCATGGGGCTAGAGCTTAAGGCTGGGCAGAAGCCTTCCAATTTTGATGGTCATCGGGTAATATTTAGTGGGTTAAATAGACTATAACATTTGTGTTATATAAAACTTTTTCCATTAAACCGCGAATATTTTTAGTCCCGGCGAAATCACAAATAGACGAACAGGGCAATTCTGATCGTTACGTAGATGCCGATAGTAAATATATCGGATATATATAGCGAAATATATTCAATGTGTATAAACAATGGAAGGGGATGTAAGCCAAAATGCTTATATCTCAAGAATGGCTGGACCGATTTTGACAAATTTTGTCAATTCTAAATGTCATCCTGGCATAAAAAAATAAAATCTAAAAAATCGCATAAAAACATGCTAATAATGATGTAAATATAGATTTTGTAGTATTTTGTGACATTTTTAATTTTTTTCATATTTTTTATCGCATGCGATTTTTTCAATTTGACTTATAATATTGAGGTGTACATTTTGTAATATTTTTTCACCTTACAACACAGGTTGTGGCTATTATACACATATTGCAATTATCGTCCGATCCTCACGAAAAAGGGTAGGGTTAGGCTGAGAAGGGCTAGGCCTATTGTTTTCAAAGATGTTCGCAATATATTTAGGGGTTAAAATGGACCAAAAACTGAAAAATTTACTGATTTTGCAGTTGCTCTACAGGTCGCAATTATGGAACAATCGTCGCGGAAAATAGCATGGGGCTAGAGCTTAAGGCTGGGCAGAAGCCTTCCAATTTTGATGGTCATCGGGTAATATTTAGTGGGTTAAATAGACTATAACATTTGTGTTATATAAAAGTTTTACCAGTAACCCGCGAATATTTATATTTATATATATATATATATATATATATATATATATATATATATATATATATATATATATATATATATATATATATATATATATATATGTATATATATATATATATATATATATATATACAATGGAAGGGGATGTAAGCTAAAATGTTTATATCTCAAGAATGGCTGGACCGATTTTCACAAATTTTGTCAATTCTGAATGTCATCCTGACATAAAAGAATAAAATCTAAAAAATCGCATAAAAAGATGCTAATAATGATGTAAATATAGATTTTGTAGTATTTTTAAATTTGACTTGTAATATTGAGGTGTACATTTTGTAATATTTTTTCACCTTACCACACAGGTTGGTGCTGTTATACACATATTGCAATTATCGTCCGATCCTCACGGAAAAGGGTAGGGTTAGGCTGAAAAGGGCTAGGCCTAACAAAAAGAAAAAAAAATTCCTGATTTTTTACTTACTCTATAGGCCACAATTACGAACCAATCGACGATAATTTACATGGAGTTAGAGTTTTGAAGTGGGCAGAAACCTACCAATTTGGGTGGTCAGCGGCCAATAATTACCGGGTGAAATAGACGCTAAATTTTATGTAAGAAAATAGAAAAATGTCCACTAAACCGCGAATATTTTTAATCCCAGCCAAATCACAAATACATTAAAAGAGCACTTCTGACCATTACAGTGATGCTAATAGCCAAGAAATCGGATATATAGCAAAGTAGATACAATACATATGATAAAGAATTGATCTTATTTCTTCTGCATATAAATCAAGAACCGCTGGGCCGATTTTCACAATTCCAAAAAATTCGGAATGGTCTCTTGCCAGAAAACGATAAAATCTAAGAAATTCGCGGAAAAATATACCAACAAAAAAGTGAATATCTTTTGTCGATTTTTTTCAATTTTTGTCATATTATTTATCGCATGCGAATTTTTCAATTTGACTTACAATTTTGAATTGTAAACTTTCTAAATTTGTACACCCCTCAACACTACGTTTTGAGGGTATTATAAGCATGTCGCAATTATCGTCCGATCCTCACGAAATTTTTCATGGGGTCAAAATTAAAGCCTCTTTTTCTTAAGATGGACATTTAGAGGTGCAAATTGACTAAAAAAAATATTTTTTCTAATTTTGTAGTCGCTCTATAGGCCACAATTGAAAACTTATCGACACGGAATTTAAGAACAGAAACATTATTTTTTTTTTTTCAAAACCGTAATCTTCCAAAATTGATTTGGACAAAAGTGACTTCGAACATATTGTACCTTTGATCACTTGTTATATATATTGTATTTGTAGGTCCACGTTTTTGTATAGCCCCCATACAACGGTACCTCCCGATATTCGATATTTTGATAACTTTTGCCACACTTTTTCTACGGATTTGTCTAAAAATTGTTTTTTTTTTTTGGGTTATTCTATCTCCGGTGGCGGATCATTGTATGTATAAGACCACGTTTTCGTATAGCCCCCATATAACAGTATTTTGATAATTTTTGCCACATTTTTTCAATGATTACTCCAAAAATTGGTGTTTGCAGTCCGTAATGGGTTCTAGCTCCGGTAGCAGAATATTAAATATTTAGTCCACGTTTTGCTATAGCCGCCATATAACTGTACCTTCCGATAGTCGGTGTTTTGATGATTTTTGACACATTTTTTCCATGGATTTGTCTATAAATTGGCGTTTGTAGTTCGTGACGGATACTAGCTCCGGCGGCAGAATATTGAAAATTTACGTCCACGTTTTCCTATAGCGCACATATAACAATACCCACCGATATTCGGTATTCTGATAATCCCAGTCACATTAACCCACGAAATTCTTTCAAATTTGGTATTTCAAAAGATTTGGTAGATGACAATCCTTGAAGTTTTGTATATTGTCTATACAGGTTCCCGTTTTGGTATGGCCCCCACATAACGGCCTCACTCACTTTATGGTTTTTTGAAAAGTTTAACAGCATTATCCAAACGATCTTACCGGTATTCGCAATTTAAAGTGGACATGTTTGAATTCAGATACTTTTATACAAAATTATTTTCTTTAGCCAATGGTGGAGGCCCGGCCGAACTTAATGTTTTTTTTTTACTTGTTCAAAATAGGGTTAAAAATTGCCTTTAAATTATATCGTAACAAATCAAAATGGTCCCAGAATGCATCGAAGTACAAATTGTGCCTAATTCTATTGAAACCAATTTTAGGGTTAAATCGGTACTTCACGTGAGTTTATGCAAAAATTCTCGTTTTGAAAGAATCACGTCAGAGACAAAAATATTCTTCATTAAATTTCACAATAAGTAATCATGGAAAAGAAATCTCTGCTTCCACTTTGTCAAAAAAAAAAATTGCATCAATGTTAAAAAAAAAAAAATCCAAAATTATTAATTAGTTTTTTTTTTTTTTTGATAAAATTTTCCATGCCTTATTTTTTGAGTTATTGCCTAAAAGGAACAGAAAAGTGCATTAATATATAGTCAAGCCCAAAAAAAATTTATATACAGGGTGAGATGAAAAAGCTGCAACAAAGACAAATGCCATAATTTTTACATTTTTTTTTTTTTTTTAATTTTTATCGAATGAAAGCAAAAAATTTCGGAAATAGCATCAAATTTTAGAATAAGTTTAGATTTGTTCGAATTGGTCACCTTTAGCACTAATTATGGCCTTCAAACGGCCAATGAAACCGTCACACACTGCCCGAATGTTGTTCTGCAGAATTTTGGCCCATACCCGACAAAGCGCTTGCTTAAGGTGATAGGCACTTTGGTATTTTTTAGTGCCAACCTTGCTTTCCAAAATACTCCAGACACAATAGTCCAACGGATTGGTATCGGGATATCGGAGATTTTGGTGGCCACTGTACGTTGGAAATGAAGCGAGGTAGCTCATTTTGTAACCATTCTTGGGTGGCGCGTTGCGAGTGCGATGGTGCTGAGTCCTATTGGA